AATAATAATAATAATAATAATTTAAAGGGTAAATGATACAGGTTACCTACTATTCATAATTTCCCTGTGTTCAACAGGCTTGAGACTGTCATCACACATCCCATTGCGAAGCATATCCAACCTGTTGTTTGATAAGAGTCTTCGTTTTATCCGAGTCGACAGACTTCGTCAACCACGACATCAACCTTCCCTTTCCTTGTGACAAACTCCTCCGTGGCCCGTGAGAATGATTGCAAGGACGCTCAGAATGAAGCACAAACCGAAACATTAACACACAATCTCCACGGTGATTAAAAATCACGCTGGATGAGTAGTCGCTCATATAATAATTATTGTTGATCCATATTATATAGGCCTATTTTTAGGGTATCTTTAGGGTATCGACTAGCTGTGAGAAGTAGAAGGCTCGGTCAAAAAATCTATTTTGTTGTTGAGCGAAACTCAATTGTTATCTTATACGCTGACAACAGCAAAACACGTGAAATCTTTAACCCTACAACAGATATAACTGCACTAGATGACGATTTATTTTACGAAGTTCCAGATTGTAACAGTTTTGTGATAGAGAACAACAGATCCTCCCCACTCCCAACCTCAAACCCGGCCGCTCCCACCTCTGTCTGCCCCCCCCCCCCTCTCTCTCTATCAGGCAGACATAAAATAAACGATAATTGTCACTGGATCCCTCCCCTATACTAGATCTCTAACCTTCCGGGGCGGTGCAACTGACTGAAGGAAGTATCTTAGGTCATTCCCAAAGGAGGGACATTAACATGTTCTTGTGCACAGTAGAATTGTAAGTGAGCTGATTCATTAATATCGTGCTCACACCTGTGCCTGAACTTCAACGGGGAACTGCTTTTTTTCTTTCCTCATCATTACTAGCGTCATTTTCCTTTACTTCTTTTGTATGTTTGTCACACTCTTGTGACCCGTTACTTCCGGGGTGCCTTGACAGTCGAAACAGACTTTTTTGTGCTGTAGAAGCTATAGAGAGTTGAGCAGAGAAAGCCCGATCACCTGTAATGACTTCTCTGTTGACATCCACCCTTTGTCGCTCAAATGACCATGCAGTTGCGAGCGCCGTAAAAACTCTAATAAAACTAAACTAGATCTCTCTCTATCATTTTGAACTGACATCAGAAAAACAAAAAATACACCAAACACACATTCGCATATATCTTTTCTCTATTTATTTAACTTCGTTATTTTTGCTGTCGTTGAGTTTTTAGGTTGTTTTTTCTCGGCCGTTCAAAACAAAGGTCTTGAAAAATTATCAGTCATTTCTCCTTTTAAGGCTCTAGGTCTGACGACAGGTTTCAAACCCTAAAGAAGTGTTTGTGAATTATTCTGAATGCTCTTCCCCGTTCCTACCAAAGAACGACAATGATTCGAAAACCTTACTCTTCAAAGTAGATCATCTGCTTTGTTTTAAGAGGCCAAGTTAAACTTTAAAATGTTAAAAGTTCAGCTGCGTTCTCAGTCTTCATTGACATACCACATTATGCGTAAGTGCATAATAATATATTATAGGTATATGTTCATACATCTCCACCTTAATTGACAGATTCACCTGCACCTACCAACTGTCAACCTACCTAAGCTTACCTACCTACCTCAGAATTCTACACTAAGTGTAGAATTCTGTGCTACCAACATACTTGCCAGCCAACCTAACAATGTGGCACGCACACACACACACACACACACACACACACACACACACACACACACACACACACACACACACACACACACACACACACACACACATACATACAACCGACCTTGATTGACGGTCAAGCAAACAAATTCAAGGTTGAGCTCGCGGGCACAGGTGCGTGCGAAGATGTAGGAAAGCATTCAGTGGATTCTCATTCTCCCAACCCTGCGCTCAGTAAACGCGCTTGACGACACACTCTCGTGTACCGTGCTTGTACCTATAATGGACGACTAACTAGGTTTTCTTAGATCAGAGCTAAGAAAGCCACGGCAACTAACCTTTCCACTTCCACCCCTCCCCTAGACTCTCTCTCTCTCTCTCTCTCTCTCTCTCTCTCTCTCTCTCTCTCTCTCTCTCTCTCTCTCTCTCTCTCTCCCTCTTTCTCTCTCCCTCCCCCTTTCTCTCTTGCCTACCTCTCTTTCGTCTTCCCCCTCTCCCCTACTCTCTTTCACCTTGTTACTTTCTCCCCCTTCCTGCCCTCTCAATCTCTTTTCTTCATTATATCTCTTACGCCTCATCCCTTCTCTCTAAACACACTCACATTACGCACAAACAAGCATAGGCCAAACGCCCCACACGCGAACATTACATACACAACCTTGCACACCTCGCACAAGCATAATATAAGTACATGTACACCTACACACACGCACACTCGCATACAACATTTACACATTCGAATTTCGAACGAAAGCTATTTTAAACTTTTATTTCTCCTCTCATGCTAACTTTGAAAACTTGATGCAGACCAATGGCATGAAAGTACATGTACACCACAGAAATGTACATACAGGTAAAAATAGTAAAACCGGTGGGGTTGGCTGTTAGTAGTAGCTCTAGATCTGCAGGCAAAACAGAAGATCATAATGCGGGCCCGGCAATATTCTCACATGGTTTTTGAATGATTTAAAAAAATAGTGGATCTACTATCTATATTTTATCATAGTTATATATTTCTAGGCCTATTAATTACCGTTGATGTTAACTTGAACATGACAAGGGCCTAACGCCGGGTCAAACGTTTCAACGGGTTTTATTGGCCAGGGGTTTCAGCCTTGGGCTGCTGGGGGGAGGGCAACGCCTAGGCCTACTTTCTAACACTAACAGTTAGGAGTAGGCGTTGGGGGAGGGAGGGGATTTTTCACGGTTGACTGGGCAGAAGATGTGCTGGGCTTACGACGGATGGGGCTACATCTCCTGCGTGTGGAAACTAGATTTTTCATCTGCAGTAAACTTGAGCTCTTCGATCCCGGAAGTAAGCACCATTGATCAAGATCAAAACAAACTGGGTCGGAAGAGAGTCATCCTTGTTGTGCTTTGTAAACTGGTTTGAAATTTGCTCAGGTGCAAGGCGCACTTTGTTTACAGAGACAAGCGTTTGGAGTATCTTTGTTTGCGCATCTCTTAGAGCCTGCGCGTGCAGAGTCGACTCGACGATGGCTGATACACGGAGAGACGATGATTTCGACGCAGTGCCGACTGTGGAAGAAATAGAGGAAGAGAGAAAGTTGTTTAGCAACAGCCCCGAGAAATTTGAATTGCGAAGTGCTTCACCTCGAGGTGAAGATGACGATATTGACGCTGCTGACGGAAGAGTACTTAAAGATTATGGTAAGTATCTACTCTACATTATGCATCTTGCTGTGTGTACGGTTAGCCTAGAATCTAGATCTATATCTAGATCTAGATTATTGCCTTTTTTGGGGTTTTTTTTTAAAAAGAAATTTTCTTCATCCTGCCATTCCTCACTGGGGTGGGTGGGTACTGTGGTGTTGCTCAACGTGAGCTTTTGTTGTGCTAGGATCTTAGTTCAATTTAGATGCCTAACACTTACAGGTTGGATAGGTCTGTATCACTGTATTGGTGGGATTTGTAGGCTTCCTTTTTCATATATAGGTCAGGAAGCTCTAGGCTAACCGTACTTAATCATGAATGACGTCTAGACTTAGACGGCTGGGCTAGCCGTACTTATGATGGCTAGACTGACGAACAGAAAAAAATCTATCTAGATCTATAGGCCTACTGAATTGTAAATAAATTTTTAGTTTGCAGTACCAAAAGTATATTTGTATTTGAGACGAAACCATGTATTTTAAACCTGAATATTAGATCTCTAATAATGAGACCTGTGTACTCAACAACGGGTTTCGGTTTCGGTCAATAGGGCCGAACCTAGATTTAAGTACGACTGGACTGGCAGTCTAGCCATACTACTAGACTATCAAGCTAGCCGTACACTTCGTTTTCATTATATAACTACTGAGTCAAGACTATCTAGATCTAGCTAGATCTGATCTATATGATAATTGATACTTGTAACGGTACTGAAAAATTTCAAAAGGAAAAATGTTAGTTCTAGTTCTGTAGACGCAGATTTTCTTTTTGTGGCTGGTTCTTTTATTAATCTGGCTCTTATCTGCAAATTTTAAAATCTAGTTTCTTGTCTAGTCTAGGGACGGGAAAGCCTCCCCGAAAGAAAAGGATACACAGACACCATAAGTTCAAGCTGAGTAGTACTCCAGCCTCGTCTCTATAGCTGTAAACTAGAGGTGAAAATGATATTAAAATGAACTTACTTATATTCCAGATCTTGATTCAGGCTAATGTGTTTCATGTGGAAGAAATTGTCTTGTCATTTATTCAGTATATCTCCATGTCTCACGAAGATGAAATTTAAGAAGCTATTTAGGCCCCCAAAAAGGGCTCTAGTGTTAGGCAGGGTAGAAGCCCACCCCTAAAAACATCTGTTGAGGGGGACGTAAAAACTCCTACATTCTTTAATGAATGGCAGAATGTCTTAGTTGCATTCTGCATGTCTGGTAATATAGAAGACTAAAATAGGAATATAGAAAAAGGATATATATAGAGTCTATTGTTATGTTGCAAGCTGGGATTCTGTTGTGTCTAGGAATGTGTAAAATGTTGTCCTTTCCCGGTTGGCGAATCTATTTCTGTGCAGGATGCTCTTTCAGGGAAGGGGTGTCATTGCGCTTTAGAAATTTAAACAAACTCCACGATGAAAAGGAAATTAAAGTAGTGTGTGTGGTTTATATGTTATTAAAATACTCTCCTATGGAGGTCTTATAAATCACAATCTATGATATATTAGCTTTTGGGTGTATTTTTAGGCTGCTGTTTGCACCTCCTGCTGGTAGATGGAGCCTTGGGGCTTGTTTTTTTTTTTCTTTTGGGAAGATATTATATAACAAAAATGAGAGAAAAAACACTCCTAATTAAATAAAAACAAATTCATAACAAGCAAGCATATTTGTGTCACGACTTGGTGGAATCAGGTGCTCGTCAATTTTTGGACATGTGGATTTATTGGTGTCTTTTTAAAGCCTTTTAATTTGTCTTGTTTTCGGTAAAAAGATACTCATATATCACGAATAGAAGTAGAGATATTTGCGATTGAAGGAGGTGGGGGTCGACTGTTTTCGGAGGGAACATTAGCGAGAAAATGGCAGTCAAAGTTTAGTGACTTCCAAAGTTTGAGAGTCCTTAGAAACTGCAAATCTATTATATTGTGCCTTAAATCAGCATTTTTCAGTAATATCCACACAGAAATCATCCAGAAATGTGATTTTAAATGGACCTTTAAGATGTTGAGTAAAAAAACAAAAATTCGATAAAAATTGCCGAATGGACAAAAAAATGCCAGTTTCCTCGATTTAATTATTTTGACGAGCGCTTGATTTCACCATGGATACCTCACATTTATATTCATCAATGTTTCCCTCATTGTATTCATCAAAGTCATGGCAGTCTGCTCATGTATTCACGTTAATGACTTCACTTCTGTTGTGTTCAAATTCTGTTGTTTTGGTTTTTGTATTGTACATTTTTATGATTTGCTTCGGTCAAACTTTATTTTCAGTTTTGCTGACCAGTTCAGGTGCAGTCATTTAAGATTTGTTGATTTTTTTTTTTGGTGTCTGGGTTCTTTGTTTTTTTCTTTCTTATCCATTAAATTTTATAAATACTTTTCCTGTAACGAAATAGATTATAAAGGCTCTACATCTTTTTCTACCGATGAAGAAAAAACATAACTATCTGACATAACTTTTCCCTTTAGTCTATTCTATTGCAACTACTGCAGTCCTAGTTCAGTAATTTGATGAATTAAATGCACTGCCAAACTTTTTTGTGAAAACGATATAATTGGAAGATATCATTTACTTTTATTATTTTTGTTTTTACTTTCTTTCTCAAAATAATGGACTACGACCCAGAGTGGACAATTTTTAAAAGGGGTGCATCATGGACACTCTCAACTTTGAAAATTTTGAATGTAGCGGTAGAAAGCCAGGCAACTGTTGTAGAAGTAGTTCTCATATCTCCATTCATGAGTCATTTTGTTTTTGCTTTATGCTTTTTTTTTTTGTTGCACCACCATATTTCTACCTGAAAAGACAATTCCTTTGCACTGAAAAACCTTTTCAGCTAGCCTTTTTTGTTACCCAGAGCTGTACACAGTATTTATCTTGCAGTCCCGAACTATTTATGTCTTTCTCTTTGTCAGTTTCTTGAACCAGCACAGATCTCTTTTTCTTGCTCACGCTCCGTAATTCCTCTTCCCACTCTTTATGCTTTTTAAAAACATTATTACATTTTGATTGTGAAATAGAAAACTGGAAAACAGAAAAACTTTGATTTATTGTTTTACATAGTCCTTCTGATTTGAAAAATAATAAATAAGATGACTAATGAAATGGGAATGGGTTTTTAAAAATTTGCTTATGCCTTTGATGTAGGATCCTGTTCATTTGTGTATATTCTATTCTTTCAAAATTTTTCTCTGAATAGAGATAATTCATTTCTTTTCTTTCATTAAAAAAAATTAATTTCACATGGAAATAACAGATAATCCAATGAAATAGAATGTGACAGGTTTAAGTAAGTAGACACATTTCCTACCAACTGAAAATATTTGGTGTGTCCTGCGCGCTCATATGACCTATGCAGTTGCGAGCGCCGTAAAACATTCTACTATTAAAAAAATAAAAAATAAGTAGACAATTTGCTGCAGAACGAAAAAGAAAGTTAACGGTTGACTTTCTGCTGGAGCATGTAATAAAATAGTAACAGAAAGATGT